GTGACCACTTAGTCCCCAGAAAGCTCCCTTTGCAAACTGTGACTTGCCAGGAAAGCAACAGAAATGAAGGGTGAGATCACAAAATGTTGATTCTGATAGCTCTGCTCTCTCTCTCCCTCTTTCTCTCTCTCTTTTTTTTAATATATGTCTATACCAAGAGGTGGGTCAGGATTGTTCTCTGGGCTGTGGGAGACTTGTGCTCATTCCTCAACATGCCCCAGAGGACCAGAACCCAGAAACACACACAGGCACGTCCCTGCAATCAGAATTTATACAGACCTCTCACTTTCTTGGCAACCACACCATCTTTACTTTTTTTCTTATGGAATTTTCTGTTAAATGTTTTGGTTTAAGCTATAGCAAATTACAGTTGCAGAAGTATTAGTTATGTTTTTGCAAAGCTCCATTACCTCCCCTACATGACAGATGTTAGAAGGAATAGAGGTGAAAACTTGTACCAAATACTCTGAGACATCTTGATTAGCAGAACATCTTTCCATAAACAGCCTTATATTTTACAACATTTGAAACACATCTAATTACCACAGAACAGCAGAATGAGTTCAGGATGCTGAGAGGATCTGGAAAGCTGTTATTTTACAGTAAATGGCTTTAATCATTCTGATAACAGAACTATGCTTTGTGTATAAAAAGTCCTTTTTTTTTTTTTTTTTTTTTTTCCTGCAAAATGTTCTGTATCAGCTTTCTCTCTGAGCTCAAGCCACAGAGGATGCAAACAGTCATGTTATATTCCATTTGCTCTGTCTGCTGATTAAAGAGGACAGATTAGGCTCATGTCATGTTACCCTTTTAACTACCATTGCTTTTACATGTATATGCTCTGTATTTTACAGGCATTTGCTCTATGAAAGACAAGCTAAAAGAGCATAAAATTAATGTAAAGAGTGACTAGAATTGTGCCATGTCTACATTTTTTCCTCTAAATGAGGGAAAAAAAAAAAAAGCTTTCATATTTTATTGTATCTTGCTGTTCTTCTACTGTCTGAGCTGGATGCTTTGGAAGAGATCATCTTTCATCATGTCAGACATGGTTCTGGCAAAGAACCTCTGTGCTGAGGTTGAATTCTGGGAAGCCTGAGCTCTCCACAGTTTGCTTCTGTCAGAAGGAAGAGGGTCACAGATAAACTTAATTGTTCTGTTACCACACAATTAAGGTTATGAGACAATGTCTGGAAATAATTTAATCTGTAATCAAAATACAAAAGCCAGCAGAAACAAGTATATTTATAAAAGTAACCAAATATACAACACCATAGATATTGGATGTCAGTTGGAGAGATGCTGAGTATCTTTGGCTTGCTTGATACTAACGGTTCATGAAAGTTGCTTTTGAAGGTGATGCAAAATTCTTAAGCTGGGTTTAAGCATTGTTACTAGTCTGCACTTCTGCAAAACCAACAGTTGCTTCCTCTACAGAGTTATGCCTTGCTGTGGAAAAGAATGTCTCCCCTGGGCTTTCCAGACCTTCATGCTGCCTGTCTCAAGTACCCCAAGATCCCTCCCTCCCTGACTCCTGCCCTTGGCAAGCAGGTGGGGACTGGGACCCCAGGGCTCTCATGTAGGAACCTGAAGCCCTTCTTCATCTCAGGTCCTTTTCCTCAGGAAATGCTGAACCTGAGGGATGGAAGATGAGGAAGTTCTGCATGAGAGGCTCACATGCTATGTATGGACTGTAACTTCACCCATCTATGTCCTTCTTAAAGGACATTCCTGTGACACCATTTTCAATTACCTCTAACTTGCTGTTTTTATTACCATGGCTGGCAATGTTTTGAAATGCACACAGGTAAGTCTAAAGCCCAACAGAAGATCAGAAAGCAAATCCTAAGTTTGATTTGCTTTTACAACCTGCCTTTGTAGATAAATGTACGTGGTGGAGTAGATTAATTGTTTCCTTTCCAGTGCAAATACAACTATTTATTGATTTGGTTTTGTCAGACAAGTTCCAGGTCACTTTATTTTTCATACCTGCTCGTTACGAAAAGGGATGCCTACCAATCTAATGTGCGAGCATGCCACTGGATATCAAAGAGCAAGTAGGCTGAAATGGTGCTGCCTTCCATGGGAGAGAGGGAACAGCAGCAGGATGCAGGGAAAAACCCCGCTGTGGCTGGGAGCATCTTTCTGCAGCATGCCCCAAAAGGGAGGTTGGGAAGAGGGATCTGTTTCCTTTGTGCTTGCAATGGTTGTCCCGAGCCATTTGACCAAAAAAAAAAAAAAAGTTACAAGTTACAGCTTTCAGGAAACTGAGCCTTCCATAAGCAAATTTTAAATGCTCTTTGATACACCTTTGTACTCCCATTATTGGGGTAGCGCATTGCATTACTGATACCAAAGATCAGCTGTCTGCTGTACAAAAGTAGCTAGTGATTGTTGGAAAATTACATCCAAGAAGGGACTTGAAACTCCCATGGAAGTCTGATGAAGGCCTGGGTTTCTAAAGGATGATGACTACCATGTAGCAGCTTTGGCATATATAACCCTTTAAGGGATTCTTTCCTGTCCTTAGCTCTCTGTCTGAAATCTGAAGAATTTTTTTCTTGGTTTGGTAAGTTGTGTCCTATACCTCTGCTGCTTTTGGTTCCTATATGTGCCTCTTGGTCTAGTTCATTATGCAGTTTATTTCTGGTAGTGTTTCTGGTAGTAAAGCCTGGGAAAAAGACATATAGCCCGAGGCAGTGAAATGCGTAATTTTCTAGCCTACTGTAAGCTCATGCTCAGGTACTCTACCTGGCCTCAGAACCTGATGGTTATGGTGGATTCCAGTAGAGGTTATGAGATGCTTTGAAAAGGGGTACAAAATGGCTATGCGACCTACTATATAGGACTTTCAACTTGTGTATGGAAAATCCTCCAACCTTCTGGTGTTAATTGCATGCAGTCTTCAAAAATTATCGATTACAGAGATCTAGTAGTAGATTAGCTTACCATTAGACTTTATGCATTTTTGTTTAGTTATTTTCATTTTTCTCAAGTATTTCTGAGGATATCTGGAGAATATCCTCCATATCTATATTTCTGAGGATATCTGGAGAATATTGGCCAAGCATCTTGGGAACTGGAGGAAACTGCTGTTTTGAATTGTGCTGCACAGTACAGAGCCCTGAGGGCAGGAGCTGGGGTATGTTTCTGAGGCTGTTAGATGTGGACACACTTGGTATTGCTTGGGTTTTGAAGACTGAAAATGTTTTAACTCGAGCACCTTTCTTATATCCCACACATATTTTCCTAGGGAAAAGAAAATAAATAAATAAAGAAGAAAGAGAAGTGGAGAATTTCCCCTTACGATAAAGGTGTTTGTGGCTGAGCACAGATGTACCAGGATGAGACAGGGTTGGGTCTCTCGTAAGCGTTGCCTATGTCTACTGATGAAAATTGCCACGTTACTGCACAGCCTCCCACCCACATCGCAGCCATCAGCAGTTACATTCAGCCTCAGTTATAACAGTCCTGAAATGTGTGTCCAAACACAGCTGTGAATAATATTTTTAGACGTGCACAGGAAGACTGACTATTTTGTGTTGTGTGACTGGAAGACTATGAAAGGATCTGGGATGCCTCAGTAAATCCATAAGGGATGCCTTCAGCACAGTGGAACATTAAAAGTTCCCAATATTTTTAAAGTTTTATAATGCAGTGACAAAAAAGTATCACTCGGACTAGGCAATCCTCATGGAAATATTTAGTCTTCTATCATGTGGGAAACAGACTGCAGCTCTTAAATTCTGTTCTGCAAATTCAGAGTCAGAGGGTAATGATTCCCCATGTGGGATAAAACTGATATATTACATACAGTTGCTGAGAGCAATGATGAGGGATTAAGAGAAGTCCTTGCAAGACTCCTGAACTCAAGCTTTTCATTATGTCAATGATATTGTTTTAACAGAGATAATTTAATAACTAAAACAATACTTTACATAATAATGGACATTGTTCACTTTTTCCATCCCTTTGGACTTCCTCTTGCATTAGATGTATTAGTATAAATTCATCCTTGTAATAATTTCACCAGTGTGACTGGAGCAATGTGAAGGACACACGTATTAGTTAAGACATTGGAACGGGTTACCCAGGGAGGTGGTAGAGTCACCGTCCCTGGGGGTGTTTAAGGAAGAGTTGGATGTGATGCCTAGGGACACAGTTTAGTGGGTGATACTGGTGGTAGGGGAATGGTTGGACCAGATGATCTTTCTAACAATTACAATTCTATGATTTTATATACCCCACAGCACAGCCAAAGCATGTTGTGATACAAAGTAGAAGATTGTGCAATCTCTGGCAGTTTTCCAATGTAATCTCATTCTGTTTCACATTGACTGCTAACAGGAATGGGGAATGAATTTATTTGTGTGATTGTCCTGCTTGTACATACATTGCAACACCACAATTTGTTAACTACACTGCAACACTCAGAATTTACCTTGGTTGTGTGCTTTAATGGATTGATGCAAAGACACCATATTTCAAGAATGTTCATGATTTCCTCTCATAGTCACAGCTTAATTAAGCTATATTAATTTTTACTAAAGCTTAAAAAAACCTCCCGAATGACATACTTATAGCATTTTTGCTTTGCATGGAGCATATTAATATTTTGTACCAGTATCCTACATTTTAGGAGCTCAAAGACCTTTAGAGGAATGGCTACTAACATATGTTTGCATATACACCCACATAGATGATGCTGTGTATGTCACATCTGGTAATCACAACTAAACTTTCCTGACCATCCAGCACAGAAGTCGAAGGGCAATGCTTATCCCCCTCCCAGTTGTACGACAGGCTATATATAGAGAGAGGTAATGATGGGATTTCCGCCTTTATTGAACTATGGTCTATGTATTTGTTACTCTCTGTCTTTCTTGTCTTTACTGGACAACAACAACAAAAACCCCACACTTTTACACCTTTTTTTTTTTTTTTTTTTTTTCTTAGAAGAATAAAAGGCATCACTATTAGGTAACCTTGATTTAGATATTCTTAAAATATGCCCTAAGTAACATTTTTTTACCTTATTTTTTTGTTTTTTTGTTTGTTTGTTTTCAGATTACTGGTAAACCAATAAGCATAAAATAATCTTCACGTTAAACATAAAGATGGAAAGAGATCCTTTATGATTTCCATAAACATGAAGAGGCAGTTGCATCTCTTGCCTCCTTCCTAGAACCTGGCTTTGCTGCTCTGTAGTTCCAGGGGTTGAAAGGTAAAAGTATTTTTTCCATGCCTGGGAGCAAAGTAGCCCAATTTTAGTCATAAATCCTCACTGTATGCAACATGAACTTGTGTTTTATAGACACCTGAAACACAGACTCTGGGAAGGAAGGAATAGCTAAATGACACAGAAAATCTGTACTTTACCCAAGGTGGTGGGGAAAAGGCATGTTCTGTTTCTGTTACAAGGGACCGCGGGAGAAGTGTTTAGGGATGTCAAGTCCCAGGCAGTGACTGTCAGAGGTGAGAGGTGTAAATTAGGCAGCCCTGCCTTGGAACGAGCCCCATCTCTCTCAGAGTAGATATGCATCTCTCTGTGCATATCAGTAGATATGCACAGAATAAGTCATTACCCAGCACTGTTCTTCGACTGGCACAAACAAACTATGGGCTGGAATTTATTTATTTTTTTTCATTCTCTCTAGCTAGGAAACTGTATTTTGAGTATAAAGAAATTTTAAAACTACTTTTTTTTTTTAATTATTTTTTCCCCTTGAGGGCAACCAGTCAAGAAATAAGATTTAAATATAATGCGGTGTTGTTGTTGTTGATTTTATTCAAAGAATATCTAGTATACCCAAAAGTCATATCCACTTGAGGGAATATCCGTATATCATTACCTAGAAGCATTAATCTCCTAAGGTTTGATTTGGTCACTGAAATACTTTAAACTAAATTCTATTTTCATTTGTTGTACTTTTTTTTTTTTTTTTTTTTTTTTTGCCAGAACCTGAATGTGTAATGTGTCAATATAGTGCAGATGAAGATGATCTCTCTCTTTAGAAATAAGACTCTAAAGACATTTCATAAGAAGCTCTCTGCATAGATTCCTTTTATTAATGATTAAAAAGATTAATGTTTAAAAAGAGCATTTGGATATGATGATGATTATTCCAACAGAAAAGGAACATCTACATGTCTATCCATTTTCATTTTTAAAAATACAGTGCATTTTGCTGCAATGATAGTGATAGTAGTGTACTAGGTATTTTTAAGTGTCAGAACTGTGGACTTAAGTCCCATGAACAGTTTTACTGTTTTTCACAGATAAAACAGAGATACATATGGAGATATAATTCAGTGATAGACTGGGGGAATTATGAATATTATTGAGAATTATCCTGTAATGTTGCCACTGTGGTGCCAATAAGGGACATTTCCAAGTTTGCAAACTATGAGTGGCTGGGGAGATACTTTTAACTGTATGCTGATATTTAGCACATTAGAGACTGTGATTTTTTGACCTTTTTTTCTCTCTCCCCTGCAGTGCTGAGACATGAGTATTGGAATGTATGGAAATCTAAGACCAGGACATCTGAACTTAACCATAAGATGAGTTCTTATTCCAACATACCACAGCAATTACTGTGAGATAGACAGAAATGATCCTATGTGCAGACAGTCCAGGCAAGACCTCAGAAGATCAGTGGCAGAAGGTGCTCAGGCAGAATAAGCAACTCCAGGGTGCTTTCTTCTTTGTACACATCTTGAAAACTTGGCTGGCATTTACAAGGACAAGGGCAATGTTCCTTGTACTGTGGCAAGGACAAGATGCACTGTTTTCAAGGGCTAAGCTAGCCCTGAACAATGTGGACTAGAAGTTTTTCCTTCCCTGCTAACTATGGAGTTCTCAGTCACAAACAAAAATTACTTGAGTCATACAGAAAATGAAAATATATTTATTTAATCCTGAAAGTAACATCTGAAACTTCTCTTTTTATTTTTCAGGGTGAGAAGAGTTAAGGTCTCGATTTTCCAGGGAACTCAGTTTGGCTATCAAAATTTTATTCTTGTTCTTTCACCTGCACACAATTATGGCTAGAAATGTGTATTACTTTTTCCCTGGTTGAAGGCTAAGCATGCATTTGTTGGCACAACCAGAAAATTATCTATCCAAGTAATATAAAACAATTGTAAAGATATTTGAAGCCCACTTTATTCACAATTACAGTAAAATTAAGGGAACGTGAGGAATGAGGTATGGCTTCGTCTTTGTACAAAGTAGAGACTTCTAGAAAACACACTTAAGTACATTCCTCCTCTTGCTGGAAGGTTTCTGAGGTAGAAAAAAAGTCTCCTGAGTCTTTTCTGTGGCAGAAAGGTTGCCACTGTGTAAAAGCTGCAATAAGGATTGTCAGATATAACAAATTTATGAACTCTGTATGTTATTTAGGAAGTGAAAGGAAGATTTTCTTGAATGCATTTGATCTAACAGGTAAAGACCAAGGAAGAAGCAGTGCAAAAACATCACAACTTCTCAGAAGAAAAATTTGCAAGACAGAGACACAAAGGCACTGATGTCCAGGTTTTCTGCCACGGGTGGTTGCAACCCAGGTTGAAGGTGAAAGACATATGCAAAATCAGCCCAGAGGACTGGGTAGGGCTGAGAGCCCAGCTCATCTTGATCAAAGAGATCAGGTGGGTCAGAAGCACAGTTTCATAGAGACTTCAGAGGCTGTGTGAATTAGGAGATAAATCCAAGAACCCCAACTTCAGTAGTTTATGTAAAAACAGACTGAGATTACAAAAAATCCAAGAACCCCAACTTCAGTAGTTTATGTAAAAACAGACTGAGATTACAAACAGCTCTTGTAGATTATGTTTATAACAGGGTGAAAAAAAAAAAAAAAAAAAGACAAGGTTTTCAGAAAAGCAGTTTATTTTCTGTTATTTTCTGCCTCTCAATGCTGATACATAGTTTTAGCCACTGTGTGGGTGGTTAAGAAAATATCACAGTCAGTAAATGAACACACTTTTTTTTTTTTTTTAAGCAAACTTTTTCTTATTAAAACAGTGAGGTCCAAAATGCTGCATGCTCCTACTGACATCAGTACAAACCTGCCAAAGCTGTTATGCTCCAGCAGGATTAAATCCTGCTGGCCATGTCTCCAGCTATTTTTTTAATTTGTAAATTAAGTGTGAATCCACTGTGGTCAGTGCAGGTATTAATCATCATGTCGGTGTAACAGTAAACAGCGTTTGACCCTTTATTGCACTCGTTCACCTTATTGCACATGTTCCTACCCTATGATGAATGTACTGTGCCAAAATCTGTGTGGAAATGCTGATCGTGCACCACAGGACTTTGGGAACAGTTGTTCATCCCCAGACCTGCTTTAGGAAACTGTTCAGTGGTTTGTGCTCTGTGACTGTGAGGTGTAACATGTCTGTAACATCACATGTTTCATCAGGATCAAAATGTGTTTGCTGAAGCACTTTGCCACCACCTGAGACCTTTCTCCCTCTCCCACAGCTTTACCTTGTCAGATTTGGTAATGCCAGCTCCTGAGGAGCTGTGGTTCAGCTCAGAACATTGAGCAGCATCTCCAGAGGACATATTAAGGAAAAGACAGCTCTGAGGTGGTAGCAGACATGGAAAAAATTATGCACCAGATACTTGGAAATGAGCCTTAATGCCTGGTGGGAGGCAAGGTTTTTATGGTAGAATGGACTAACAACTACCATATTGAAGCATCTGTAGGAAAACATTAGGGATCCATGCGAAGATAGGAGGGGTTATAAGAAGAGTTCATATTACATTATATTATTTTCTTTCTCTGAAGTATAAAGCTGAGTTTCATATTGAGATACATTCAGGTAGTTGAAATCATTCTTAACAAATTGTTTCTGAGGGTAATAATACAGATTATAAAATGTGTCTAGAAGAACTTGTTCATCTTTAAAATACAATAGAGAAAAAGTCCTCACTGAAAAGTTGGTTCCTTCTGTTTGTAAACACACATGCAAAGGGAATTTGGATGTATTAAACAAGTCCCAGGTGCCAGTCTATCTAGGGAATAGCTGCTTCCCATGTGCCTTGCCTTTTTTTTTTTATGATGAGTTCTGCAGGGCTGGTTAAAATAGAAGGAAAAATAAAGAGAGAATTTTAAAGACAACAGAATATTACTTTTGTAACTGAACTGAAAGTTCTGGAATGTTCAAGATGAATTTATTGTTGTCGTTATTATTAGGAAAGCAAGCAAGGTCAAGGACACAAGCCATAAACTTTACTTAGAGTGGGCCACTGCTTGTTTTTTTGTGTGCATTAGAGCAGGTGGCAGATATGCTGCGGGGAGGAAGAGTGGAGGTATATGTCTGCACAACACAAATGTAGGCAGGAACCCCCTGAGGATGTGAGCTGGGAGCAAGCCAGAAACATCACGAATGCATTCATGCACTGCTCAGGCTGTATATGAAACCTCCCAGCAGGTAAAAACAACAGGCTGTGCCCATTACTGGTTCTCATTTGCCTGTAAACCTTGAAGAAGTAGCAGTGAATAAACAAGGGTGTGTATTTTATTCTGTGTTCACCAGAAATAGTGTTGCATAGATTTAGTCACAGTATAAACTGTTCTGGAGAGATTTTACTTTGTACTATCAGAGCTTTTCCTAAATTAAAAGTTCTAGAATAAAGAAAACATTTGGGAATGAGAGTTGCAATCTTGCCAGTGGCTTTATGAACATGATTTTTAATACCTTTGGATTTTAAGGCTCTTCAAGCGTTTTCTTTGAAAACTTCAATTTTCTGTTCTGGGGGCCGAGTTTGAATTTAATGAATTAAAGTATGAAAGCACTAGCAAAGTAAATTGTTAAGTCTTGAGAGCAACTGTCATTCAGAACTGGCTATCAATAAGAAACTGCTTTCAATAGGCTACAGCTTTCTAAATGTTTAACTGAAAAAGTTGACCTATATAGATAGTAATCTACAAAAATACAGTTATGTTAAAACTGCACTGTGCCTACTTGTGTCCTCACACAGGCTGACTATTTTCTGTTAGCTAAATTCCTATTTATCAGCTTAATTCACAATAAATATAAAAATATAGAATGTACTTCAGATATAGCTAATATAAAAATCTTAGTAAAATTTAGAGAAAAAAATTGAGTCACCAAAAGCCTGCTGAGATAAATTGGGATGAAAACAAAATTTCTTATTGCTCAGGCTTTGTTCCTGTGTCTGTCCTGGAGATCCCTGGTATGCTTTTGTTCTGAAGACTGGGATGCTACAGATTGCATAGGCAGGGCAGCACTGCAAATGATTTAGATTTATGATTTTTTTTTCCTCCTGCTTGAGTTAGTAAAGGAATTTTTCTTATGCTGAAGGGAGGTTACCCAACGGTTTTATGGTGTAATAAGTCTGAGATGGAGAAACTGTGCATCAGCTGTCCCAAGCATTTACTTCTCCCAGAAATTAGAAAGGTTTAAAGGTTTAAAGTAATAAAGTCACTATTTAATCAGGACAGACAAGACTCTGTGATGTAGTTTGACCAGGGAGCTGCACAGGAGAAGCAAGCATCGATACTAGATGTAGCTTCTATGAGAGATGGTAGCAGCTTTGCAGAATAACTGTCTTCATTTTTAAGGCCAATCAAATTACAGATTTTTTCTTTTTTCCATTTTTTACAATAATATTCTGTCAGTTCCCAGAAGGCAGCATTAAAGAAAAGATAAGACTTAATTTCAGATGTTATTGGGTTACTCAATGACATCTGAAGAAAACAGGGCTTACAAGCAATCTGTGGTTTTAAATTAGGTTTGCCAAAAGCTACATAAAACAATCAGATATGCACAATCAAAGCTGTTGACAGCCATTTGCAAGCTGGATTATAAGGAGATAAAGCTCAATGAACATTACTGCCAACAAATAATCTGATTTGTTTCTGCCATGAGTATAGAGTACTTGAAATAACTGACAGCACATTTTTTGTAACAGTGTTGATTTAAAAACAAAAACAAAACAAAAAAAAACCAACAAAAAAAACAAATAGCCATACCCTTCCTGTTACTTGAAGTCAGAAAAGACTGCTTATATCACCTACAATTTTTCAAATACTGACACAGGTCTTTTCATGCCAACAATTTTATTTGTGTTCATAATTTTGAGGTATAACAGCACTCCAGTTGTTATCAGACTCTAAATAAAACCAGAAAATGGTCTGTTTTAAAAATTCTTGCTCAGCTCTTTAGTTAGCTTGTCCAATTATTGTCCTCCTTCAATGGAGAAGAATTAGGAATCCATTTTACTGGAAATTCTAATGCATTTTTTAAAGGTTTCCATTGTTTTGCCATGATGCCTTTCTCTTTGAATCCTTATGTTTGTCTAGGTGGCAAAATGCAGTGTTAGTTCAACCAGCTCATGTGTCATACAGTCTCCAACCTTTTTGCTGACCTTCTCTGCACAGCTAACATTTTGGATCAGGCAGAACCCTTGGCAGCTATAACATCTCCTGAGAGCTCAGCCAGCTCAGGCATCTCTGCAAAGGACTGCTTTGTGATTTTGGTTTTGCAGTGAGAACAGCATTTCCTACTCATCATTCTCTTTTAATCTCCAGATGACAACTGTGTTAGGCCTGATGGACTGGTACATTTGAGGTGGTTGAATATTATTTTATGATTATTTGTTATTTTGAACCTCAGGAGAACTGGGGCCTACAAACAGTTATGGTCAAAAGCTATGCCTGAGGATGAAAAAAACTCAGAATATATTAAAGATTCCAGAATTGTATATGTTATTGTATATGTTACAAAATTTCTATATCTGACTAAATTGTCATTCTTGGATTTATGCTGCAAAGGAGAGTTTCAGCAACATGACAAATTTGTCATAAATTATCCTTATTAAAATGTAATATTTTAATGAGGAAACTTGGCAGATGTGTTTCATATGCCAATGTCACTTCCAGGTTCATGTGCAGTCACTGCTTCCTACAACTCCATTTTGTCATTCACTGTTTAGGATCTGATTTTCAATTTCCATTGTTTTCAACTGAAATTAGATAAATATGCCAGAGAAACAAATCTTAAAACTAAATCCAGAATTATTACTAATAGGATATTTATAAAAGAAGCTAATTTCTGTCACTCACAACCCTCTAAATATTAGCTAAAACAGGTGTGGGTCTTTTGCTACAATAAAGGAGCCAGTCAGGAGAAAATGGTATGTTTGTCAGGTGAATGCATTCTGTACTGAGTGCAAAGAGCTCTCTTCATCCTTAATAATAATAAGAAGAAGATGTTGCTAGTTTGCCAAAGTAAATGTTATTCTACAGCAAAATTGTCTATTAAATGTGTTTTAAATGGATATTTAAATAGTATTTTCATTCCCTAGATGTGCTCAAATATTTGCAGACTACACTGGATTCAGTCCAAATGTCCTTTCCTACAAACCAGTGTATGAGTTTACACCCAGAGATTGTTTTTGATGGCGGTATTTGTTCATTCTTCTTCCTTGCAAATAGAATCATCTTCCACGCTGCTATTTTGGATGTAAATATTGCTGTTAACCTTGTCTTATCATGGTAACATTCTGTATGGGGTCAGTGAGAAAATAATCCCCCCAAACATATGATGACTGAAGGTATTTGCTTACACTGCTTCTTGTGGTTTCTCTGTTTGTAGCTCTTGTGCTGTCCTTGCATGAAGTCTTTGTCCTCAGAACCATGGGAAATGTTAGCCTAGATCTTGAACAAAATTAATAATTTTATAAATATTATAATTATACAATGAGACATATTGTTACTCCATGTGTGGGAGATCATCACAGCAGCTCAGAACCTTGGCTATCTATGATCAAGGATTCTTTGTTGTTGATAAAACTGTATTTTTGCTTGATTTGACAAAGCTAAATGGCGTTAAGTAGGAGAGTTCAACTGGATCCCTTGGAACAGATACAACATCCATTGGATCTCATTCTTGAGCAGACCAGGTGTCAAGTGCATAAGAATACCTGATATCTGTGTCCATTAATCATTTTTCACTCCCTTTAGTCCAATTAAGTAATGTTTAGTAGGAAGAAAAAGAAGAATTAGAAACAGCAAAGGTAAAAAACTTTTCATTCCTTTCAGGTGCAGTTATTTGAAGTCAGTTTGAACAGTTTCAGAATTTGGACCTTCTCATATATTTTGCAAGTGATCAGTTTAAAACCCTGCCTGCCGACAGTCCCAGTGGGGCAGAACACAAAGTGTGACAGACACATTTACATGTCATTAGAGATGATGAATTATAAATCACCACAAAGCATCACTGTCATAAGAGGAAGTGGTCACGTTTCAATTGTCTTAATGCTGCAGTAAACATATGACAAGGCATTGTGATCAGGTTGCGATTTTTTGGGGTAAAATCTAGTTTTTGCTCTGAGTAATCTTGCAAGAGCAAAACGTGACTTTTTACTGAAGAAAGGTGAAATTCATGGTGTTTTAAAATTACATTACTGAAATATAAGTACACCCACCAGAACCAAAAATGTTGACTATGGCGGTTTTAGAGTACCTAGCACAACAAAATATATTTTTATTTGTAGGAGCTACAGTAGCAAACATCATTTATATAAACAAAGGCAATATAGTCCCACAACATCTGATGTCTTTACTTGAGCTAAAAATTCTCTGTATAAAGAAGCATTTTTGTCTTTGTTACCCTCGGAACTCAGGCCAGGCTTAGTAACTCCATGGTCACTCTAACTCAGTGGAGGCTGAATTCATGACAAAGCTTTACCCAGCTGCATGCTGTGGAGGCTGGTAGCTGGTGGCTTCCTAGCTAAACTTCTGCCTGAGTGGGTTTAAATCCCCAGTTCCTGTCAGACTAAAATAGCTGCTAGGCAGTTTGTATTTCTGAGCTAATGCTCATTGAAATCCACTTGTGTGATTCCCCTTTGTGTGGACTGACTTCCTAATAGTTCAGAGGGAGTAAACACAGACTGAAAACTACAGGGCATGTGGAGAGCAAGGGCTGGATTTCAGTTCCTTTTCCAGTGAAGGTTTAAAAAAATTTCTAAATGATACTGGAGTAAAAATACAAAAGACAGTGGAGCAGTAAAAGGGAAATGGGTTCCTGACCAAAGGAAAATTTCCTCACCTTTTAACCATGCTCAAGACCATTCTCTGTCCAAAGACATACTTAAATACTCTGTGTGAAGCTGAACCACCTCCAAAAAAGAGACCAATAAATGTAGTAAACAGCTTACAGGTGTGGCTCAGCACAGACGTGATGGAGCTAATATCTGAGGCGCAAAATCAAGAGAGAGAAAAAGGAGATGACAAGGATGAATGACAGAAATGGAGGTGCGAGGAGGTGGAGGAGTTGTTGGCATGGAAGCCAGTTCATAAAAGCAGAACACCGTGTTCATTTTCCTTGTAAGGTCCAACCCAGCAGATGTACATTGAGTCCATCAGATCAGGCCTCACAGATGAGCCAGAGCAATAATGAGTTCCCAGAAGGGCTTAAGGAGCTACAAGTTTTGTAGCTCTGGCTTGTCATATTGTAGGCACTCCATACATCCCCAGAAGCAAACCCTACCCCCTCTTTCCTTCCAGGGCATCACAGTCCAAGTGCCACAGACCTCTGGGAACAGTTATGGGTCTTGAGGAATGAAATTGCTCAAATTCCTGCCTTAAATTCCTACGTTGGCAGTTAGCCTGATTGTAGATTTGGCAGGCAAATAGTCCTGTTCATGTTCCCACTCTTTTGAACTATTAATGCAGATTGTAAAGATTTTTTTTTTCTATCTTGCTTTGAGATGCCAAAGTTCAGTTGTAAAATGAAAGAACCCAGAAGAGAAAAAGACATTGCTCTGTTGTCAAGCATAACCTCACCTCTCAAGCATTTGGGAGCCTGAAGGGCTTGGAGTTAAAATGAAGAAGAGCGTCTAACATTCACGGAAACATATATTTCCTCCCTCATTCTTTTATTTACTTTGGTAAGAAGTATACAGAAACAAGACAAATATGTTGAAACTATTCATGTGGAACTGATTTCTGCAGGAAAAGCTGTGAGATAACTGCAGGAACCCAAGTAAAGATCAGATTCTGCCTCTCTGATGTGCTGATGGGAGTCTGTGTGACAGGTGATGAAATGCAATGGGACACACAGAATTCAGCTGCCGAAAAGTCCACAGTCTGGTTACACAGGGCAGAACAAACACCAGCTAGGACAGAAATCTGAACCCTCATCCAATGAATAACAAAAACAGAGGGAAGATGAGGTGGAACTACCAAGGAAAGCACAGGTGAAAAATCATGACCTATGTTTTGTGGCAAGCAGATGCCAACCTCTCCAATGCAAGACGGAAGCCATCAGCTTCTGGGTAAGGAGACTGCTCATATTTAAGCACTTTTACTGTGTTTTTATGCTATGACCATCACCACAGAGAAATTCAGAGAGATTACTGTTTGGTCAGTGCTCAAGGAGTACAGGAAAATTATGGGGCCCATGCATTCAATATGCCAAGCACTGAAGCTTTGGAAAGGTTTGCTTCCAGACATGAGATGCTGCTGTGAAAAGCGCATAGCAATGTAGTCCATGATTTATGAGGCTGATCTCTAAGAGTGAGATCTTCCAAAATAAATTGTTAGCAGAGAGTTCTGTGCAATCCTGTAATATTTCGCTCTTAAGTAGTCTTTCTTTTTTCCTCAGCTGTGATATAATTTGCATTTTGATTAAACTAGCCAAATATTTAGCTGAACAAAAGACACTCTTTGTAAATGCAATTATGTTTTTGGTCTAGATGACCTTTTCCTGAATTAAAAATAAATAAATAAAATCCTGGTTGCCTTTTCTATTAAAATTGTTGATTACTGTAGATGGATAAACTAATAAAGAAGAGATAACTGAATTAATCATGCTTAGTATAATAGCATATTGCTAGGAGTTTATAGAATAATCTAAGAACTTTCTTTCATGTTATAGGCTAATATAAATAGTCCTTCAAATGGACTATGTCCATTTTTTCCCAGCGTTATTCTGTTAATTAACAGTGCACAAATAACAACTGCTGGCATATAGCAGACAGAGGGTAACTCAGGATAAAAGGACCACACAGGTCCATGTTTTCACTACCTGTTTTTAACAGAAATAGGGAATCTGTTTTGTTTTTAAAATACAGATTTTAATTGCCACACAAAATAGAAGTCTGGTAGTGATTTGGGATGGATTTGCAGGTATTCAAGCCATGCTGCCGATGAATCAGTTTTGAGCTGCTCCTTAACTCCGTATTGTTTTGTTTATTACTGTCTGTTAGGTGTGTTTCCCAAGATCTAAGATAATGCAGCAGTTGACTGACACACTTTCTCATGCTTATATTTTAATAGAAAGGAAATCAATTCTATTCTTCCTTTTCTTTTGTAGACCTTACCATTGTACAATGCGTGATTGTATCAACAGCTGGGACACGTGCCGGGGATGAACGAAGCAAGTTGGAGCCAGATGATAATGTTTTTCCACTCTCAGGGAGTGTGTGATTCTTCTTGAGGAAGAGCCTGTCTGAAACCCCTGGATTCCGTGGTAGCTCAGCCTATGACACACTCAAGTATATAGCTGCAGCCCTTAAAATGTAATGAGTCCCTACTGTACAGTGAAACAATTCCAGACATACATATGCAACATGGGAAGAACCAGGTGCCAAAAAATTCTCTTCTGTCTGGCCATAAACTTCAAAAATATTCTCTCTAAAAGGTAAAAATCTGATGAACTCTATAACAAAAACTTTGTTTATGTATGTTCACATCTACCATATTTAACTTCAGAATGTAACTACCTTCAGACAAAAGTTGTGGGGTTTTGGGTTTGGTATTGTGTTTGTTTGTTTTAATAATAGAAAAGGACATAAATCCTCCAAGAGGCCGTTGGAAAAAAGCATATAGTTTTTATGCCTATGAATGTATGAACACGTATGTAAATCCAGAGTTATACTGGACTTTTAATAATATCTGGTTCAGCCGATGGTGACTAGCAGAAAAGAGCTATCCAGCTTCACTGACAGCTCCCAAATTCACTTGTGGAGGAGAGTAGAGAAAGGCAAGAAGGTACAACCTACCAAGCAGAGACTGAGAGGTGACATGTCTGGACAAAGATGACAGAAGTGCAAAAAAACAAGTAACATTCAAAGCATGGTTTGGGTGGTGTAAACATCTTGCATGTCATTTTCATCAGCTTTAGATACATTTTACACACTGTATTTGAAATTAAAAACAAACAATCAAACAAAATGAACAAAATAAAACAAAACAACAACAACAAAACATGTTTTCTCTCAAAAGCTCTCTCTCCAGAAATGTATGATGCTTTCTGGCTGTAAGAAATAACAGAGCTCACATTAGAAAACCCAAATGGTTCTAAAGGTTCTAAATGGTTCTGACTGCCAGACATTTTTATTATTATATTTTTTTTAAGTAGCTAATCTCAAGCTTAAAATTGCCCACAGTCTCCTGAACTGTCTACAAGACTGATAGATAAGTAGAAGAAAGGATGGTCTCTAGAGAGCTAATCTTGCAGCTAGTAATCTTTTGGGTTTTCATCCAAATAGAATTGGAGACCAGGTTTTATATGAAGAACGATTAAATTGCCTATGTAAAGCTCAGATTAGGAATAATAAATATATAAATATATAAATAATATATAAATATATAAATATATAAATAGACATGGGGAAAACAGGAAAGAAAAAGAAAAAAAGAAAGAGGAGGAAAAAATATTTTAGTGGGAAACAAATTCACAAATCTACTGTTTCATTAAAATCTATACATTAGAGTGGAAGAATTTGTTTTATTTTGTTTTGTTTTTACTGCATGCAATTTCCATGGACATAATGTAAATTACAGCAAATTGATTTCATACAGAAAATCTGATGCATCTGATGTATAGATTGTACTTAAACCAGTAAATCCACACGTATTTTTGGTTTGTGCATTAACTTGCATCTCCTTATTTTTGTGTTCACCCCCAATAGCTAAACTGTATAAAAATATCCGTATACTCTTTAGAAATACCATGTAAATGTGAGAAATATTATATGTGAGTCACAAAAGAAGAAAAATTAGTTTTTAAATCTTAAGTAAACCTAGATTAAGATTCTAATGACTCAGTGGCAAACTATGAGAATATTTTGGTTGAAGAGGAAAAGAAAATTCCCAAGAGTAACATTGATTTTATGTGTATGCTGGAGAAGTTAGAGGGGGAAGCATGGCAAAGACTTGAGAAAGGCAAAGCTGGCAGCAATATTAAATCACAGGCTGAAGTAGTTCATTTTTGTATGAAACGGTAGCTCATATTGTGGATTTATAAAATATATGTATTTTTCAGAAGAAGCAAAGTGAAAATGAGGTTGCAAAGTGTTAATGAGGTCAGATCTTCCTAAAGTCAGCCAGGCTTTGGTAGTCTAAGAAGAGAGAAAAAAAATACAAATATTAGCTGCCAAGTTGTTAAACGACTATGATTTTGGCATAGTCTGTCTGATCATATGATGCACATTCTACTAGCGAAATCAGAGTTGTGTAAATTCTTGCAAAGTATTTTTAGAAAACTATGAAGAATTGTCTGAGAGCAAATCAGAAGACAGAATTGCCCTACAGACATTTTAATTTCATTGTGAGATATCTGAGAAAACTTGTAGGAAAAATAACAACCATCTCTAAAAAGGCTACAATAAATCACTGCGTATAAATTTTCCATTCTTTGTATTGTTCCTGCCTACGGTTTGTCATTTAATTTCTACAAGTATTGTGAGAAATCACTTTGCCTGGAAGATTTTCAGGGCTTCTATTGCTTTTTGGAAACTTAAAATCCCTATGTGACTCCGTAGCCCAAACTCTAGTTCTGCTCTTAAAGCTGAAAGTTTGATGAACTCTCACTGTTCTGTTCTTGTGCTGTGGTAGTGTTTTGCTGTTGTCATGATTATTTCAAGCCTAAAGGAGGCATCCTGATTATCAGGTCCACATATAAGATCTTGGCAGGAGTGCAGGTTGCTGCTCTGTTGCTGGAGACCATCCCGTCTCTATTCTCAAAGGGTTTTTGCACATCTCCCAGACTACACATGGGTATCACTGCTGGATGAATAAGGCAAAAGTTAATCCAGATGAAGATGACAGCTTTGAAATAGCTTGTGATAGCTTGAAACAGTTGGTGTTCAATGCTTCAATGTTTTTGTTTGTTTTTTTTATCCCCATGATACATTGTTATTAGAGGGAATTTTGTGAGATGATGCATTTTTCCTAAGTGGTAATGAGATACATCCCTATTTCAGCTGAAGGTCTATAATGCCTTTTTATGAAATAATCAGCACTTTTACACTATTAACACCTAAGATAGTCCTACATGATATTGTTTCTGGTGATAAAATAACCTCAAAAGAGGTTTGTTTGTTTCCTTTTTTTTTTTTTTTTTTTTTTTTTAATCTGACATGTTAATGTTTAATATTCACTTAGGTCTTTAGGAGTCAAAAGTACTCAACAGTCTGAAATCTGACCTCTTGCAGTATAAAGAATGGAAAAAACACTAAGAGATCAGTACAGTAGGTAGAGTGTGGAACAATCATTACAACAAAGGCAGAAAGAATGGAGATAAATGCCTGTTGCAAGTCTATTTTGGGGAAAGGCCTGAATCAGAACTAAGAAGTTACAGAACAGTACATTTAAATGAATATTCATTCTCATGCTCTTTGTTATGTAATCTGTGAACAATGAATGGAATGAAATATCATATAAAACACCATTCTCTGACCATGATTAAAACTGTACTTTTACTTCCTCACACTGCATCATTAAAATCTTTACTAAAAATGGGGACATTCCAGTTTTTACAGTTTCATGTTATTGCTAATGGGGAGGATGTCCAATATTAAAAAAAAAAAAAAAAAAAAGAAAAAAAAAAGTGGAGAAACCATCAGAAATGTGATTGCAATTCCAGGTACAGTTATAAAATCTCTCTATTAAGGTCAACAAAACACTTTATTCTCCTTGTATATATAAATATATATATTTGTAAATGTCTGTAGTACAATGTATGATTACAAGATCCTCAGTGAATGAGCAGCTATAAATTTCTCTATTTCTGTAATCTACAAAATGTTTCCTTTAAAAAACTACAAAAAAAAATTATTAGAAAATAAATGTAATCAAAAACAGTGATGAAAAATATGTGAACTAAATTAATTATAAAAGTATGGTGTCTCATCTAACATCAAAGTATGAATCATCTTCATTTTATAATTTTCATTTTATTCCCTAAACAAGTGTACTTGGAAAGCCCAATGCAATATCAGTTAATAGTTTTTCTCAGTGCTCCTTCTCATGATAATTTCGTTATGTCTTTTGTATTAATCAGTAAGTTAGGGAAAAGAAGTGGAGATGTCAGTAGTGATGTCAGGATGGTGAAGCTGACCTGGGTAAATGGGAATCAAAGAGGGTGCCCCTCATAAGAAAAATGGGTGCAAAGAGAAGAGGCACAGATTCAGTTCATGGGAGTGAGTTATGTTACAGAAGGGATGTGGAGAAAACAAGGATGGGGTATAGGCCATGGTGATAGTTACAAAGGTAGGCACTGAGAAAAAAATACAGATGAACTAGATGGTAGTGTGTATTCTAGGTTGCTGGGTAATAATACTGGAGGACTGCACGTATGTAAAGCCAGAATAGCTCTCTCAAGTCACATATTTACATACTACAGTCTTGTTGTATTATTCCCAGTTACAGACTCCCTGACTTTCTTCTAGTCCCATCATACAGCAGTGCAAATTTGCTTCTCCAAGCTGCAAAAAGATGGCAAATAATGGAACAAGAAAAAACTGGCTGAGCTGAGTAGATAGAAAGTCCGATTTTTTCAGATACAGCAACCTTAAAAAATACCCATTAATATTTTTTCTAATAACAGAGAGATTTGACTGAAAGAGGCATCTTTACAAGAAAAGGTTTTGGCTTATTTTACATTCAATTTATTTTTTAATCAAAGCTTTCCAGATGCTACTGTGTTCTCTTCATTCAAAACCATCAACAGCCATATGCTACAGAACCAAAGGCTTAATTGCAAAGATGTATCTGAAATCCAGCAGAGTCAGGGGAGAGGAGGTGGAATTTTGTTGATAATCAGGCAAGAGGGCACAGGCAACATGGATAAGTAGTGAAGAAATACTCTCAGCATTCTTGCTTGTTGGGCAAGTATTCATTTACTTCCAGGTCCTAGAAAAAAGGGACAGAAATTGATATCTCACATACATATATACATTCACTCCTTATTCCTTCATGTACCAACTAGCAAATGTTACAGGAGAGATTCACTTAGAGAACACAGTGAAGAAAAGGAAAAAAAAAAAAAAAAAAAGAAAGAAAAAAAAAAACATAGTAAGAATGTTTTTCAGTGATGTCTCGACCCTGGTCGGAGGGTAATCAGGAACTGGAACAGGTTCCCTGGGGAAATGGTCATGGCACCGAGCCTGCCAGAGTTCAAGAAGTGTCTGGACAACACTCTCAGATACAGAGACTGCTTTTTGGGTGGTCCTGTGTGGAGCCAGGAGATGGTCTCCATGATCCTTGTAGGTCTCTTCCAACTCAGAATGTTCTGTGATTCCATGACTCTATGACTTTTGAGATAAAATTTATAGTTATATATGACTGATTTTGACTCACGGAGAGAAAGTAGCAGGGTCTGTGCCCTGTTGCAGAGCATCATTACACTGGATCTGTGCTTTTGTCATATTTTTTACACAGTAGCATTTTTAAATGAGTTACTTAGGTTCAGTGAAATTTATGAGCTGATTTCTCAATGTCCAGCGTAACAGTCATTGTAATCAACTGTTGTTTTACAGGGTCTGGTTTCAGCCTACCATTTCAATAACGTACTTGAATATAATTTGAGAAGAAAAATAACATGCATTCAGATTTGTTTTATATTTTTCTAAAATGCAAATTAAATTTATTTATAGTCCCCATAGCCCCATAGTCTCCATAATATATCATACAATACCAATTAAGATTTATTCTAATTTTTACTTTTTTTCCACTAGGGGTCAGTCAATAGATGATAAACTTTCATGTTGTAGAAATATGTGTTTGATTCTTTTACTGAATAACTTATGCAAACATGCTGGATAAAATAAAATAAAATAAAATAAAATAAAATAAAATAAAATAAAATAAAATAAATAAATAAATTAAATTAAATTAAATTAAATTAAATTAAATTAAAATATGAAATGATGGCTATGAAAAAGGCTATGAAAAACTAAGCAAGGAAAATTCCTTTAAACATACGCCAAAGTTTTAGAAGCTTATCTAGAGGAAGTATCACCAAACCTTCAACTATCAAACAGAAAATGTGTGCAAAGAATTACTCTTGTATGGTTGCAGTATAATTTGGATATAATCTGGGTTTATGTGAACTGTTTTCTGAATTATAGAAACTGTTTGAAAATCCAGAGTAATCTTTTACTAAGCTGAAAACTCAACGAAACTACTGAGGTTTTTTAAAGGCAATCTGTTTTAGGATAAAGTTGGAAAATATCAAGGTGTTTTAGTACAGTTCTGTAGAGTTAAAGCTATTTGCCAGGTGAATTGGAATTCAAAAACAATTGCATTGATTGCGTTTTCCACTGCCTTACTTTGCAGTGTGCATATCCAGGGTATTCCCCAGATGCCTTGATATTGAAGAGCAAAATTGCCATGTGAAATGCTTCCAAGGCTAACACCTCTATGCCCTCCTCACGAACAGAGACAACATTTCCTGGTGTGCGAGGCCATTCTTCCCGAAGGAAGAGAGGGCAGAATGAGGCTTTTTGTGAGGTGCATCTAAATCTGCTCATTTCTTTAAAGTATCTTTACACTTAGTCATAAAGCTCTACATTTGCTAGCTGGTGAAAGGACATGGTTATTATTCCTTTATTTATCGCAGCTTAATCTATTACCTTTTCTGCAGGCAGCATACTAAGAATTTCACTCCTTATCATTGTTTCTCAGCACTTAGTTTAGTTTATTTTTAATATAATTGCATTGATCGGTGATCTTTGTCTCAGATGAAGCGCTGCTCAGTAGTGAGGTCCTCAGCCCAAGACGCTGTTCTTTGCCTCCAGACGTGAAAGCAATGGGTCTTTAACCTGGAAAGCAATCTTATTGTCCAAGATGGTCTCTTGGGAACTGTTGAAGTTGTATGGTATATATATCAGCTGCTATATTTTGTTCTCGGTGAGTATTTACCAAGTATTCAATATAATAACCTAGTATTTTTAATATAGTATCCTAATATTTCAATTTAAATGGTTCCACTGTACTTGCAAAGATCTTCCCTTTTCTACTAAGTGTCACCAGTGATGATGATTTAATCACACTCATATGCACTTTTTTGTTGCCAACCCTCTGCTGTAACTTCATCAACACTGAGACACAAGCAATTTCTGCCAAAGATTCACTACAACATTATTCATGTGTGGACAGAGAACATCATAAATATGAGGACCAGCACTGAATCTATTAGGAAGTTATACACATTTAAAGGCAATATGTCTTAATTTCTCTGCTTTTTACTCAGATATTGACATAAGCTCTACTTGGCATTACCCAGGTATAACACTAAAATATTTAACAATCCAGCTTCAGGAAAGCTGAAGTATAATGCTTCTAATTCAGGAGTTAGCTGGCTTCTGCTGCAAAACATGTGAGATGCCTGATTATGGAAAAGTTTAAAATAAGGGTATTTTAAAATTGTTTAATGAAAAACAATTTGCATGCAGTTCCTGTTAGCAGGATAGTAGCTCATTAACACCTTAACCAAGATTCATGGAGAAGTACCATTAGCACAGAAATTGTTTCATTGTAATTGAACTTGAAAGTTGACTATATGGTTAAAAAGCTTGTATCTGTTAAGGCCCTGTAGGAGCAGGACAAACATTTTCAAAAAATCATATTTTAATAAAACTATCTGTTGGATTGGACCTGTCCGTATTCAGCTAAAGTGGTATACACAGTTTTGGGCGTAGGTCAGAAAATTTGGAATTCAGTGGCTGTATTTTCAAAAGAGTTATGTTTCTTGTCCTGTTCACCTTTCTTTCTCTGACAAATGATGTTTGAAAATCTATTTCTGGCTGTTTCAGCAAGAGAAGGATGAGTTTGTAGAGTTCTTGAATCTAGTTTAAATTAAATACCTTTTTGTGCTTCACAGTCAGGAAGTCAGAAATGTGCATTTAGATAAATTTGTTGAGTTGGTATCTGATATCACAAAATGTTATTTTTCTTCTGTTCTTTGGCTTTCAGTCCCTAAATTCCTATGCTTCAACCTGAATCAGCTAAAGATAGAGCTTGTGACACCTATGTGGAAAGTGAGTAATTTTGTTCTTTTGCAGACATTGAGGGTTTGGCAGTTATAATCCTTTGTTCCTTTTGTTATTACCTGTAACAGAAGACCACCTTCAGAAGTCTGGGGAATTTTGGCTTTATCACATCCCTTTTGTGCTTTTACTTTGATAAATAGCTTTCCCCAAGAGAGACCAGCAGGGGTGGTGGGAGGACAGCACAAGTGCACGAAGTGATGAGGATGCACAGAGATTTGGTAGAGCAAAATCATTTTGCTTGCATGTCAGAAGAGTTGTGGGGCATGCTCAAGGGAATCAGGTTTTGGACAAAAGTTGCTGAACTTTCCATCTGATGTTTTGAAGTGAGCACTTTGCCTAATGGCCACTCTGGGAAATTTACCCTGGAGCTCTTCAAACAGATGCTGACTACAACAAAGGGAAAGGGATTTTTGCCTTACTATGTGTGGCAATGCTAACTGAATTTAAGTTTCCACTAAATCAGGCTTTTATGAAGATGCCTGTCACAGTTCATTTCTTTCTCAGGTGTATTTACTGAAGATGCATGAGGAGAGGAGGCAGAGGGCTTAGGGGACAACAGTCTCCCTTGAATCACTGCTTGGTGTGCTTGCGGTATCATCATAGCAGCAATGGGGAACACAAACCTGCTTTTGGAACAGCTGTGTAGCAGAGTGCCACAGCTGAGGTGTGTTGACTCATTATTCCATCCACATTAATATCTGAGACTTAAGCAGAGTTTATGCTGCTATGTGAACTGTTTTCCCTCATCCTCCCTGCCCTAGACTATCCCCAACACACTGAAAAGACAAACTCTCACAAAACAGGCTTACATTAAGGTCTTTGTTCACCATACCAGTTTTCCTCCAAACAGCTTTGTTTCTAGGGTTTAGATGGCTTGCTGTGAATAACTTGAATGAGTTAAGCCCACTTGGGCTGTGTTTATGATTCCCAGTAAATTACCACTTCTCTCAGCATGAAGAACTCTTGAGGACTCTTCAGGTATATCTAAAGAGCTCTGTGTGTCCTTCAGACTTAAATTGGCATAGCTTCTATGACCTCAGTGTAACTTCAGCATTTTATGCTAATCCTGCTTCAGTCTCTGCCATCTGAAGTTCTGGTCTGGCAAAAGTTGTTAAACAAAATGCTAAGACAGGCCTTATTCATTTACATCAGCTGGTGTTTAGACCCAAACTGGCCATTTCTACACTTGAATTTGAGGACATAAATATATAAATATTCATGTATTTATATACATTACAAGGTATTGTATCCTTACCTATACAGTTATGAAGGTTTTGGATGAATTCAGTAGAAAGGAATTGAAAGGAATGCTGAGAATTCATAAGAAAAAAAAAAAAAAGAAAAGATTTTAAAAGGGGTTGTAAGACCAGGGAGAGTATGCTTTTTTTTTTTTTTTTGGATGTTATCTTTATTTTAAATTCAACGTTCCCTACTGTGTCATGAAAGATAACCATAGACAACACAAAGTCCAGTTGTTAGAGTGCCAGGTAAGGCAATTATCTGGGAAACATTTCTCATGCCACAGAACAAATTGGTATTGAGAAAATAGGTGGATATTTTTGTATTCACTGTGACTGATGTGCCTTCTGAGGGGAAAAAAAGTTCAGTTTGAATGCCAGTATGTACAAGACTGCAAAGTGAAGTAGAGAATACTTTAAAAGCTGATACAATAAGACAGCTGCAAAATCCCAGAAGAAAAAATCCACAGAGACACTACGAGATGAAAACAAACTGGACATATGATATCCTGCTCAGGGCTGGGAATCCAAACTTTGGCTACTCAGCCATAATCAACATCAGTCAGCTACCTGATCTTCTCTCTTTGCATACCCAAGAGAGAAAAATTAAGAAGTGCTGAGAGTTTGGATAGCTGGTGCTGGCTCAGATGCTATTGGGAAAAAAAAAAATGAATAAAAATAAAAAATAAAAAAAAGAAAGACGATGTAATATTGTTCCATGAAAGCCTGATTATTCTGTGGCCAGAGTATCACAATCCATCCTGCCAAGCCCATGATAATATAAGAATGCTAAAAAAAAAAAGAAAAAATATATAAATTTTTGTTTCTCCCAGTCTTCCCATATAACTGAGGAGCTGGAATACATTACATGATTAACAGCAAGTTATTGCAGCTCAGTAAGTGAAGTTGTCAATGTGTACCAGCTGAAGAGTAGCAATTGTTCATGTCGGGGGTCGACACATAAAATGTGAAGTAATGTTACTTAACTCTCTTTTATTGCTTCAAATTTCCCCCAGTGTGCCATGGGTTAGGAGTGCACATTGGGTAGGGTTCACTGCTCTAAATTTAGAAATCTGTATCAGAGATGTCTACATCTGAGCTAGTTGTCTAAGTTCGTGTTAAAGTCAGTGGAAACAAACAGGTGTGTTTGGGGTGAGCTTTGTCTCATCTTGGGATAGCTGTTTAAAACAGCAGATGAATCCTACTCCACTGACTCTAAAAGGAGCCTAATTAACTCAAATATAATGTTATAAGGTCATGAGATTAATCTTGTCTTTGGAGAGGTACCATGTCTCAGCTAATGAGTTAGTTTATCATGAGTCTGCACGTGAACATATAGTGAGTGGATAGTTTGGAAAAATCTTTCACTGATCATAGTAAAAATAAAATAGTTAAGATTTTATTGAATATCAGTAAGAAAAATCTTAATCCAGATATTCTTAGAAAATTTAGAGGGATTTTGTAAACTAAATAAACAAGTCATACAGAGAAATCACAATCAAACTGCATCAGCTGAATTTTCTAGCATTCTTTGCTTTTAAATACGTAGTGATTCATCTCAGACATTTATTTTTATTTTGTTTCTTCTAATCCTGCAGACATGGGAAGAATTTCCATTTTGCAGTGCAAATGGACCTGCCACAACAATCCAGTGAGGCTGGTAACTCAAGTAGCACTAAAGGAAAGCACAAGTCCTCATCTGGTAAGATGACAATATTTTCTACAATTCAGTGTCCAAGAATCACTTACTGTGGTTTTACTTCATACAGTGTTTCTGAAATCATACAAGCTCTGATTTTCATCTGTGGTTTGGCAGGTATTTTCCTTCAGTAAACTTGCAAAATCTGGTTTTGCTGTCCTACTTGAAACACTTTTGCCCAAGGAGGATTTCTATGGGATAGGAAGAACCACTACCCCAGCACCCCATCTTCTCTGTTTCTGTTAAAAATTGATCAGTCAAACAAATTCTTAGGAAGAAAAGACCTTCTCAGATCATGGCTATTTGGAAAAAGTATCTGAGAGCATTAAAATAGGGCAGCCCTCAGATTGCTCTAGGTTATATGTGGAGCTGGATGTTATTAGATGGACCAGGTAAAACTGTCATCAATAATTGCATTCCACTTACTTAATCTAGTACAATGTCTACCTCATCTTCTTTTAATGACCCATGTGAGTACAACAAATAACTTTTACTGCAGTGTCATTGAAGCAGATGCACTCCTGGCTCCACTTAGGTTTTCCAGTACAGTTGTATATCTTACCTTGAGATTTATGAAAAAATACAGTTGGAGAATAATTTTTTTTCCACACGAATCTGCCCCATTCTGTTTCCTAGTGTAGCTGCCCATGCATAACACAAAAGAGTGAGAAAGAATGACAGCAGGAGGTAAGAGGCAGGCACCAATCTATTCTCTGTAGTCACCAGTGATAGGACCCATGGGAATGATATCAAGCTGAGGCAGGGGAAGTTCAGGCTAGACATCAGGAAGAGGTTCTTCACTGAGAGGGTGCTCGCACACTGGAACAGGCTCCAGGAAGTAGTCATTGCACCAAGCCTGTCAGAGTTTAAGAAGTGTTTGGACTGTGCACTTAAGTCACGTCTGAATTTTTGGGTAGACCTGTTTGGTGCCAAGAGTTGGACTCAATGATCCTTGCAACTCGGGATATTCTATGATTCTATGAGATGCAGAACACTTGAGAACAGCCTCAGGACTAAAGAGAGAAAATCATCTGATTTAACCCTCTGGTACAAACACTGAAAATATCGACCTCATTTCTACTAATAATTTAAATTCATAATAGTTTAAATTCAGAATTACAATGCTGAAAAGTTACAAAAGCTGAAGCCAAAAGAAACTCATTGTGAGGGCAACACATCAGCTTTCCTCCTCAAACTCTGTGTTTTTCTGATACTGCAGCATTTTTATAGCTTATTTTCCTTTTACAACCTTTGCACCGTTTCCTTTATTTATGGTATTTACCAGCTAATTAGTCATAAGAAACATAAATCTAAGCTCAGTTTCATAAGAGACTCAGATTCAACTACGAAAGCCCTGATGACTGGCTTGCAGCATGTTTTCCCCTATGTTCATAGATATCCCTTACATCTGGACATCCCTCTAGCCTTCAAACAAAACTATGAATGATTACATTTTAGTTACCTCTTCTTGGGATGCGCTGCATCTTCCCCAGCAGATCCCTGTTGTGTGCAGCTGGATAAAAGCATGGCTGCAGTGAAATTAATAGGATTTTAGTCTTTGATTTCAGTGGTGTCAAAACATTGCTCCAGATTAGTCCCAGTCACTGGCAGTCTTGTGAAATAATATGATATATCCTGTTTAATTTAATCTACATGTAAATGAAATTCTGGCCTTTGTGGAGAGTTCTTCATATTCTGGATCATAAATAATGCTCAATCTGCTTCTTAAGTTCAAAGAAGATACATAAAAGTGTGTTCAAGAGAAGTAGCATTCAAGATTTTACTGCCTGCTTTTATGTCCACAGAGAAAGTTACCCCATTTCTGCTAGTTTTTAGAATGAGTTGCTTAGGGCCTCACTCTGTGTTCCTTCACTTTGTCCAGACATTGCAGTGAGGCCCAGATAACACACAGGGATTTGTCTTGTCTTACTTTTTGCAACAGTTCACATATCCTTTGCATTACACCTGAAAACAGAGCAATGGGGCATCTCAGCAGGCAGCACTGAAAGTGTTGATGTGTCTTGTTAGGATTAATACTGGCTTGCTCTAAATGTTATTCTATCTCATTTTATACATATCATTATTCTTATTTTAATTTTAAAATGGTACTAATTATTCTGCAGAATGTCACATACAAGATGCAGACTTTGATAACCTTTTCCTCTGAACCAAACTTTGAGGAGCAAGGTACTCTGGTTTATGATGACTTTTCAATGCTCTTTCTTTTTCTGAGCTGGATTTTTTTTTTATGCTTTCCCACTTTGTGTAAAAAGAAATCATATTTTCATATATATATATATATTTACTAATTTGATTAATTAACATGAAAAATTCACTGATTATAAGTGTAAAAGGGGTCATTATGATTTCTGTGGCACATACCATAAATATACTGCCATTGAGTATTCAACTGACTTTTTTTACAGTTTTGTGATAGAAATATAGCACCTATATAGTATTATTTTTCAAGGTTAAAAAAAAATAATAATAAAAAAATTAAAAAAATAAAAAAAGAAAGGAAAAGGTGTTCAAAAATAAGAATGCTTCCTGTTCCTACAGTTGTTGCTTTTCTCCACAAATAAATCTTCCAATATTAGATCTAACTTAATTGATTTTGAGAGAGATTTGTTAGCATTAAACTCTGGCTCTGCAGATAAGACTTTTAGAAAGTATTGGTTGCTGGTGTAAGAAATGGCTAAAATGACTGTGATAAGCCTGTTTCCACACTGTCTGAGAGGGTGTTATGTGAGACGTTGGACTTAAATGTTTATGCTTGCACAGATGATTGACTTAAAATCCCAGCACCTGTGATCTCTGTAATGTTCAATCTATTTGTGCAGCTGTTCCTCTGAGACCGTTACGCACAGTAATTGATTAGTTCAGCAGTCCTTCAACATCGTTTCAGTGTTATGAAAGCCGGTGAATTAAAAGCTACATTTCAGCATCATGCAGCATCTTCCTGTTTGCATGATACTTCTCAGGTACCTAACCTACATTTTGCTGTAGCAGTCTTGTTTTTTCTAAAACACTTGAAAATATTTGTTTTAAAGTGAAGAGGTGAATGCATCTATCTTCATCACTTCCTTTCCCAAAGTCAAAGATTCTTTCTATGTCATTTCAATCAATGAAGATAATTTATCTTAAATAGGGAACCAGGAGGTGGTGAGCATGGATGAAGTTCAATGGAGAACAAACAACCAAGACACATTGCCTTCATTCCTTTTCTGAAGGCAAAATGTTATGTTTAAAATAAACTGGTGATGGTAGAGTTCAACTGTATGCACAGAATTAATATAAGGGTATTGATTCTGAAGGATTGGTATGCTTAAAAATAAAGTATTCTCAATTAATCTACTATGCTAATCAAGCTGCCTAAAATGCAGTGCTCAAATTATAGATTTTATATATTTAGGGAATTATATTACTGTTCTTGTATGACGCTACAGGTTGTCTTAGATACACGCCATATTGGTTCCTGTGTGCCAGTTCTTCAGTTTCTCCAGGGTAAGATTTGGTTTAGAACTGAATCAGTTTTACACCTGACAAACAATGTGGGGTTTGACAACGGGTGCTTTATAAACATATGAACAACAGAACCTCACTTTTTCAGTATATTTCTGCCCAGCTTCCTTCAGCTCACAGATTTGCTTTGGGCTTGTTTAATATGTCTGTGGTTTTTTTGTTTGTTAGTTTGTTTTTGTTTTCTTTTGTAGAAAAAAAAATTAGTTGCAGACATATTTCATCATTTAAATGACTCATTAGGGCATAGTCTTGCAAAACACTGGACATTTAACAGACAGTGGTATTCTTATGCTGTAGATGTTCATGCACCCAAATGCTTTGTTAAATCATTATCTGTGTAGTCAGATTTTGCACCTTCTGTATTTGTGTTCAGGATACACATCTACATAAAGGATTAACCAAATGGTGTTTAGGAAATATCTTGATTTCAATCAAACCAATAAAATTTCACACAGGTGTATATGCAAAACAATGTTAGTGGAGTGAGAGGAAGGATTTTGTAAATCTGGGCTTACGTATTGAAAGATTGAAACCCAAATAAAATTTAAATAGCAAATAGATAATGGAAAAAAAAATTACACACAAGAAAAGAAAAGGTATCATTGTGATATAAAAAGTAATTGAGAGTGAAAGAGAAATACTAAATAGGTAAAATTGACATAGATTTTATGTATTTTGTATTAATTTAGTGAGAGCAAAGAAAAAATGCATGTTGAGTAGTAGCTAGCACGTAGTAGCATATCTATGGTAAGAGTATAGTGACAGCATTAGACTCCTATCATGTCTGAGATATTAAATGGTGCCTGTCAGGGTGGGAGTGACATGTAAAACTTACCTGAGCACTATGTCAAGAGCACCACAATCACAGATAACACTTTTTTCAGTCTTGCTGTTTTATGTAGCATACAGTTTATTCTGGGTTTACACATAGGTAATGGAGTGAAAAAAAAAAAATAAAAGCAATTGTGTTAGAAACAGGCTTGTGCTTTGCTACCTGCTCCCATATAAGAGTGTTCTAAATTACAAAGGGTAATCCAGGATGACCTGGAAGAGGAGGTCTATTTTTTTATTATTATTATTATTTCTATTCTTTCAGTAGTGCAAAAGTAGTTCAATAGGAACCTAAGACTTGAGTTACATGCTTAATAAATTCTTGTTACATTGTTCCTTCTATCTTGATGATGAAATATCTTGATGATGATAAGTCATTAAAGAAGGCAATATGAGAATAGGATGCTTTACAACCCAGCAAAGAGGAGTAAATCTAAATTATTATTTTTTTTTTACTTGAAACTCTTTCTGATACTAGGAGAAAGCAGCTGTTGCTTTGTTTCATGACCCACCCTGAACGTTTCAAAATCCATCAAGCTTCCAAAAATCAATGTTAAAAGGCAAGAATCTCATTCTCTTTGATTTCAATCTTAGCCTACATTGTGGTCATATTGGCAAGTTTTTCTTTATAGCTGTAAAGACTATAAATAT